TATAAAGACTAATCAACTAAGATATTTTTAGATAAAATGTAGTTAGGTAAATAATAATTAATGACTATAAAATAATGATGGTGGTGGTGATATCTAATAGAACAGACTAAGGTACTGGGCAAACCAGATTTCACTTGGAAGAAGAGTGATCAGAGATAACTATGATAAAGACATTTATTATTTTAAGCATTAAGTATGCATATTACAAACAAGGCACACCTACACTAAGAGTCACAGTTTATAAGTTCCAAACAAAATATGGAATGAGAAAAATAACTCCAATTAATTCAAAAGAGGCAAGTAGGGAAAAATGGAAGAGGAGGAAGAAAGAAGTTAGAGGAAGGATGAGGAAAAAGAGGAGGAAGAGGAAAGAGAAACAAAGGGGCAAACAGGAAAAATAGAAACTCACCAGTAACAATAAATGTGGGTTAGATTCTCCAGGTAGAAGCCAACAGAAACTGTCTAGTAAGCAAGACTCACAAACACAAGGGTCCAGAAAGGTGAAAGGCTGAAGAATAAAAAAAGATATTTCAAGTATATATCAGGCAGAAACTAAAGCAAAAGCAAAGAAAAATGTCCTCTAGCACAGAAATATTTTTATCAAAACATATTTTTTAAAAATCCCATTCCTAGAGATAACTGGAGTCATTACAAAAGGTTAAAATGCTTTTACCAGGAAAATATAATTCTGAATTGACCTGCACCTAAAACTAAAGCCCAAAATATATTTTAAAATGCAACCATGAAGTAGCTAAATCAGAAATTGACAGCATTGCAAGGAAAAGAATATCGGTACTGTGATATTCTTCTCTTAGTATTTAATATAGCAAGCAGGCAAAAAGGCAATGGAGATAGAGAAGACACAGAGATCATGAACAATGAACTTGAAATATTGGATACACATAAACCATTCTTTTGAAGGTCATGTGAGACCTTTTTAATTTTGTTTTTGTTTTTCTTTTTTAAAGATTTATTTATTGAAGCACACAAGAACTGGTTCGGGAGGTGAGAGGATTCACCAGAGACAGAGTGGGGAGCAGAACAGGCAGATCCACTTAAATGCACAGCTGAGGGGAGCAGCAGGTGGGACAGGAGAGGCCTGCTGGCCATGTGGGTCAGCTCCCTGGCTGAACTGGTGTCACAGTGGCTGCTGGTAGCTTCATAGCGCTGCATTTAACCCCTTGCACCACCAGGGAAGGCCCCATGTGAAAGATTTTGGAAAACCATTAGTTCATAAAGCTGGCCAGAAAATGTTTCAAATAATTGGTATCATATTGAACACATTGTAGGACTACAATGTAATTACATTGGAGATCAATAATAAAAGATATATAGAAAAAAGTCCAGTTAATGAAGAGAAACAATATTTAGTACTGAATGATAATAATGGAAAGATTAAATATCAAAATTAGTAGAATCCAGTGAAAGTCAAATGCTTACTCTGAAAGGCTCAAAATTAAGGAGAGAGGAGCCATCTTAGAGACAATTCCCCAGCCACCACCATTAGAGAGTCATGTGACTGCATTCTGGCTGGTAGAACGTGACAGAGATAGTGTGAATAATGTCTAGTTCTGACCCTCAAAAATTTCTATGCAAGCACCCACTTTTTGTTACCTATAGGTGGCTCCAGGGTGTGGGAGAGCAAGGTCTTCTAGGCCAGGCTACACTGGCCAGTGTTACGAGAAATAAATCCAACTGCGTTAGTCTATAGAAACCTGGAAGTTGTCACTGCAGGACGCCTGTCCTCACCAATATAGCAAATGGATTTTTAGGGATAGAGGGTGGGGGTTAAGCAGAATAACTTTTTAAAGATTTATTTATTGGTACAGGCCAGAAGTTCAGGGGTGGTGAGAGGATTTTCCAGAGAAAGAGTAGGGTTTTTAGTTTATTTCCAAAATTACTCTTTTCAAAATTCATTTTCAATTACTTCAGTTAGTTTTTTTTTTTTTGTTTTAAGATTTTATTTATTTGTACATACAGAACTGGAGTACAGGCCAGAGGTGCAAAGGTGGTGGAGGATTCACCAGAGACAGTTTGGGGAGCAGAACAGGCAGATCGATGAAGTACACTGCTGAGGGGAGCAGCGGCGGGTCAGGAGAGGTCTGTTGCGCCATGTGGGTCAGCTCCGGGGCCGGATTGAACTTGTACTGAAGCAGCTGAGGCTGGCATGCAGTGCTGCGCTTTAACCCGGTGTGCCACCAGGGAGGGCCCACATATAAATTATTTTAATACAACAAACCTCTGAGGAAGGACTATTATCTTTGTCTTTATAGATAAGGAAGGAAACAGAAGCTCAGAGAGATTAAATAACTTGTGGAAGGTCACCAAGCGCCTTCTTTCATAATCAGCATTTGGAACCAGGCAGCAGGCACAGAACCCACATTGTAACTCTGCTACAATGTCTCCCTGGGTGCTGAATTTTATGGCTTCCTTTATGTACAGCTGTTGAAATGATTTCATGGTTTTTGCCTTTGCTTCAATGATGCAATAAATAATATTCATCATTTGGATCATTAAAATATTAACTCAGCATTCAAGTCTGGTATCCATCTTGGATGCCAGGATGGATTTAACACTGTTGTTCTTTGCTGGTTCAATCCATAAACATTTGTTAAGAACTTTGTCTTTGTCAATAAATTACATTGGCTTATAATTTCCCTCCTCTGTCCTGTCTTTGTGGTTCTGACATCAGGATTTGGCTGATCTCCCTTAATAAGTTGAATAGTACCCTATTTTTCTGTTCCTTGCAAACGTTTGAAAAGACTATAAATGTTTCTGGGTTAGATTCTCTTCGAGGGAAAAACATTTAGCTAATACTTGGGTTCTTGGATGACATAAGACTTTCAGGTTTTTTCTCTATTCTGGAATCTGTGTTGGTAAATGATTTTCCTCTAGGAATTTACATATTCCACTGAAATTTTCAAATGAATTAACATAGTTCTAAACAGTGCCTTTTGTCTCCAAAGAATTATAATGTGTCCTCTTTCATTCTCAATATTTTGCCATTTTTCTTTGCCATTGATAGTCATGACAGATTTGTCAACATTATTACCTATTTCAAAAAGCCAGTCTTTGGGTTTGATTATCTCCTCTACAAGAGATATTTTCATTCCCTAATTTCTGTCCTTTATCTCACCTAAATCCTTTAAAATTTTTCTACATATGCCCTCCCTGGTGGCACAGCATGTTAAAGCACAGCAGCAAGAAGCTAAAGCCAATCATCATGAGTTCGATCCCCGCCCCGGAGGTGACCCACTTTGCTCAGTAGACCTCTCCTGTCTCACCCGCTGCTCCTCTCAGCAGTGTTCTTTGTCGATCTGCCTGTTCTGCTCCCC